TTTACATTTGAAATTTTATAACAAAACGCTGTGAAGATAAAAAAAAAACCGAACATTCACAGCAAAAACACTGTGAAGTTTTTTACAGTGTTTTGTTGTGAAATTTAAGTGTAACAAAGTGGTCTTGCGAGTATCACGAAAACAGGCTAGTCTCACGTGATCTCAAGTCTCTCTCTCTCTCTCTATATATATATATACACATATATACATATACATACCTTTATCTATAGTATATTATAAAGCATTTGACAAAAACTTCTAAAACCCATTTTTATGCATGAAATATTGTTTATTGATGCATATTATTTAAAATTCAAGATTACAAGTAATTTTGTTTAAATACAACTTTTTTTTAAGTATATAATATTTATATACGGCAAATAAAATCACACACCCTCCTCACTAAAGGTGAGGTTTTAACCCTTGACCTTCTAGAAGGCCAAAGACTCACATACCGCTAGGCCAAAGACCCTTTGGTTTAAGTACAACTTATTAAAGCTTCATTTTTAAATTCGTGTAACTAATTGCAAATAAACATAATAAATACAGGATAAACATTCATTTTAAATATAGAAAATCTAAAATCATTGAGTTCTCACATAATGTTTAATTATTATCTTTATAAAAAAAAATATTGTTAAATCAAAAATAAATTACTTTCTTATTAAATTATAATAAAAAATTGAATTAAAGAAGTTACATAAAAAAAGGAGAACTATTAAATAGTTAATTTTAATATAGATTTATTTTTTTCAAATTTTTATGCAATCTTTAAATTTATATTTCATTTAAAAATAAAAACATTATTTATTTCTTAAAATCACATAAAATTGTATTACATTGATAGAGACAAAGAATAAAAACTAAACATTAAAATCAAGATTTATCTCGCTGTATTGTGTGAGTATCTTTCTAGTGTGTGTGTGTGTATATATATAATATATATATATATATACTATATTATAAAGCATTTGACAAAAACTCTTAAAAACCGTTTTTTTATGCATAAAGTATTGTTTCTTAATGCATATTACTTAAAATTTGAGATTATAAGTAAATTATGCATAAGTACAACTTATTAAAGCTTCATGTTTGAATTTGTGTAACTAACTGCGGATAAACATAATCAAATAGAGGATAAACATCTCATTTTAAAATATAAAAAAAATCTAAAATATAATTAGGATAATTATCGAGTTCTAACATAATCATTATCTTTATAAAAAATTTATTGTTAAGCCAAAAATAAATTACTTCATTATTTGATCTAGATTAAATTAGAATAAAAAATGAATTAAACAATTTATATAAAAAACAAGAACTTTTAAATAGTTAATTTGATATTAATATCGATATATTTTTTCAAATTTATTTTTATTCAAAAGTAAAAACATTATCTTTCTCAGAGTCACATAAATCATTTTATATCAACATAAAAATATTAAAAGAAAGATGTATTTCGCTGCATTGCGCGAGTATCATTCTAGTATATATATGTATATAGTAGTGTTTAACAAATTGTAAGGTGAAAGATTAGGCTATGTTTTTATTTGGTAACCAGATATTTTAATTATCACAAATATAACTTTTCATAGAGTAAAATAATTGGCGGGTGAAATAGGAGTGAAGATTTCGTAGCAAACTAAGCTAACTTAATAATTGTATCAATTAATTGTTTTATTTGTTAATTGTTGGTATATAGATCAACTTGCTCGCATCCCGATTAGTTTTAAGGGCTCTGGAAAAAGAACAAAGAAGTTCCCAATGGCCTTGTAGGATTCGGAACCGATGATCATCAAGAAGAATCAACAAAAGCTATTACTAGTTGAGCTAACCCCACAATCAATTAAATTGATACCAATTTAGATGGTACCGATTAAAGTCTATTGGTATAGATTGTGGTAAGTCATGTACCATGGTAGTAGCTTATTTAATTAATTATAAAGCATAGTTATTGATGTTTAAGTTTTGAATTATCAACTTTTTTTGTTTTGGGTATTTCAATACCTGCAAGTTTTATTCCTTACAATTAAAAACACTTAAACATAATATGCATTACTTACAAACTTAAAATGTCACTAACAATTGAACAAGATGGCAAGTTTTAATACATGTAGATTGAAGTTGGTACAAAACCAACATCGTCATACATCAACCGAAAAAAAGTTTGTACCGAATACAATAGATTGGTATACAATATAAATTTTATGTATAAATTATAATTGGTTGATAAATTGAAGGAAATATTTTAGAATACCGTACCAAATCCACCCATATTAAAATCAAAAGTTGAAGATTGAAACATGGTCCTTACAACAATGGGAAATAAATCAAAACCAATGTACTAAAATAAATTATAAGTAATAATACCGAGTATATTTTATTTAAAAATGAAAATATGTTTCAGAAATATTTTATTTAAAATGAAAAAGTTTTTGAAGTGGTTAGAAAGAAGCAAAAAGTGTGCGACAGTTATATGGAACTTTTTGTAAAGAAAATTAGGTGGTACATAAAGGCATATGTGATGTAGGAATTAAGAGAAAAATAAAATCAAGATAAGTTCATAAAAGATGAAGTATTCAAACATAAAAGAAGCAATAACTAGATTGACAATCCTGGACTAATGACCAAAAAGCCCCCCCTCTATATGTTATAGAATGTTGTAAATTTACCAGTCAACTTTATATTCCTTCTAGGCCAACGGTCTCTCCTCGTCCACTTAATTCTTTATAATAATTATTAATCATGTCAATTGTTTTTATATTATTATTATTAAATATATATTTAATTATCAAAATGCAAATGTTTATATAACATAAAGATTAAAGTTATACTTATTTTGTTTCATAAATAATAAAAAATATTTTAATAAATATTTAATTTAATTGAAATCTAATAATTATCATATTATATCTATACTATCTTATAAATC